GAAATCAAAAGAAAATTTTCGTCTACTGACCTGGAGATATGAGGACAATCGCACCTGTACGTGCCATTCAAATGGATGAGACACAGATGAGAACAACCGCCATTATCACTTCCACATGGATTTTTCCCTGGCGGCTGTCTACTGGGATGCATGATCTTGATGTCGAACGGCTGAGTCAGAGTTCTCTGCACATAAGCAAATCGTGAAACTAAATCCCGGATGGAGATGAGAGAATGTCAATCCCACCTGTATGACCATCACGTCGCCCCCAGTCCACTTATTCGCCCTCATTACGCTGTTCGTCCTCCAATCGGTCCAATAAACGTAGTTCTCAAAGAGCGAAATGGCGAAAGGATGGGAGAGAAACTCCTGATTGCTGATCACTTCGTGATGATCGTTTCCGTTATAGTCGCAGGTGTGAATTGAATCTGACCGTGCATCCGCCCAGTAGATTCTACGCAAAAAGTCGCCGTCGGAAACATTTTCGGCTGTTTGCACAGTTGCACATTTACCTTCTCATCACATAGTCCAAAGTCAGGCCATTCGGCCAGCCTCCCTTAATAAAGTGGTCGACTTGCACAACGATTTGCCGGTCCAAGCCGGCCAAGGAACATCTTTCGATCCGGGGCGCCGAATTGTCCCAATCCGACCAGAATAAGTAGCTGAAAAGTTAAGCAGAAGGCTTGGAGACAGTTGCCTAGAGGAACATCCTCACTAACCCATCGCGAGGATCCACGGCAATCGCTCGAGGACTCTCCATCTCTCCCGCCACCAAAGTTCTGCGAAAGCTGCCGTTCAGCTTGGCCACTTCGATTTGGTCCAGATTGCTTTCCACCTGGCAGAAGCCCAATGAAAATCCGCACAATCCCCCAACGGGAAAACCTACCCAATACAAGTTCTGCCCGATCCAGTCCACCGCCAACCCTTCGGCTGTGGACAATCCAGCATTGACCACCACCTCGATGTTCCCTAAAGAGCCACCAACGATCGTCCCTCGGAAGATTTTGTCGTCAATTACATCAGTCCAGAAGAGCATATCGGTGCCATTCGAGTGGTAAAAGTCCAAAGTGATGGTGTTTTTCAAGCTCGAAATGAAGGATTTCTGACTGAACGTGTGCAAGTCCACGCCTCGCAGCTCATGGCGATTGGAAAACGTCACAAACGGCCTTCCCATCTCCGAGCTTTTGCACGTAAAACCGTCGTCTTGAAGCACGTAGCCATCGACGCAAGTGCATTTGTATCTGGAGCCTCGGGGGATGCATTTTTGGGAGCAAACGCCCCAAGCTTCGCACGGGTGCGTCTCCAGGCAGTGGGTGCGATCAGCCTGCAACGATCAGCGAAAAATAGTTTTATTTTAAAGAAGTGTGAAAGTCCGGACCTGTAGGTGCAGGTAGGGGGGGCAGCTGCAAACCACCCCATCCGGAGCATTGTGGCACTCATGAGAGCAGATAAAGCTATGCGCGCACAGGTCTTCTGAACATCTCATCCCCTCATCGGACTCGTCCAGGCAATCTGCTGTTGCGTCGCACAATTGCTGCATGGTGATGCATTTGGTGCCATTGTCGCATAATCTGTGCAGAAAGGGGTGGTTCAATGCGGAAAAATGCCTCTGGACTGGAGTTTTACCTGTTTGGATACTCGCAGCTGGACAGCAGCGACTTTCCTCCATTGGCTTCTGATCTGCTTGCAGCGATCGCGCTGCATCTACGGGGCTCGTCGCTTCCATCGGCACAATCTGCAGTTATTTGCAGGGTTATTTAATGGAGGCAACCGAATCAATCAGGTGCAACAGCAACTACTTGCCTTGTCGATTATCGCACATTTGCGCCGGGGAAATGCATTTGGTGTCGTTATCGCACAGCTTTCGGGGCGCCATGCAATTCATCTTCTGTTGGCCATCGGTGTTGTTGTGCATTTTCGACGCATCGCATTTCACTTCGTCCGAACCGTCCAAACAGTCCAAATCCGAGTCGCAAACAAACATCTAGAAGAACATTTCTTGGGAGCTTAAATCAGCAAATGTTGCTTTTACTATTTAATATTTTTCAATCAATCAATCAATTCAGTCAACAACTTGAGATTTTCATCATCGCTAGAAGACACTTGAATCCAACGATGCCAAAACGAATTCTCTGGCTCGAATGGTTCTTGAGAAACTTCGAAAATGGCAGCGTCATGTATGAGACGATTTTGCAACTCACAAACAAACCACGCAAATCTAAAACTTCTTCAAATCCACACTTTTTGAGAAAACTGCCTACATCTCGTTATCAATGCTTTACTTTCAAAAAAGGCCATTTAGTTCTCTATGAAATGATGTTAAAATAGAGCGTTTTGCCCATTTTGCTTCCGAGAAATGAGCAAAAAACGGGACGGAAAACATGAAATTTTGCAATAATCTTGCGCCACCCTTGCACCCTTGATAATTTTTCTAATTTCATAGACAACAGAAGACTGTATTTTTTTTACTTACTTAACCCCCCCCCCCTTGAATTTAAAGCTGGCACCGCCCCTGCTCTGAAAATGCAAGTTACTAAACTTCGCTCCCTCTTTTAAAAAATCGGGGCTTCCACACTTAGGCAAGTAACAACTTGACATTTTCCTGATCTTTAGAAGACGCTTGAACCTAAAGATACCGAAAATCTCATATCAATCGCCCCGAATCCTGATTTTTGCGGGTGGGACAAGACAAACTGCATACCTTCGGTATGCACTCAAAGTTCGAGCAAGTGAATTCGTTCGATTCACAGTGTTTCCTTCCGCAGTCTTGCTCGTCAGTGCCATCCGGACAGTCTATTTTACCATCGCATCTGTAAGAATTCAAAATGTATAATGGAAATTTATGAAAAAACCCACACAACTACCTTAAACCGCTGGGAAGACATTCGGTCCTCGGATAGCACTCAATTTGAGTCTCCGGATTGCATTGTATGCAATCGATTTCATCGGATCCGTCCTGGCAATCCTTGATTGAATCGCAGTAGAAATGTGAGGCAATACACTCACCATTCTAAAAAGTTTGTTTAAATAATTAGAACAGCACACTCTGAGGAAATGGTTGCGACAAATATGCCTCAACTCCTGAAAGAATGATAACTTAAATGCATAAATCAGTTTCTTTTGTTTTTCTTAAAAAATCAGACTAAAAACGTTGAATATTTCTGTGCAGTTTGGTTTTTTCGCACTGATATCAGCATAGTTTCAGTTGGGATCAATAGAAGAAACTAGAAAAATTCTGCTGAACAGAAAAAGACGCGTTTTACTGATCATCATCACGGTCACTAGTTAACCACAACAATCCATTGAACATTGAAAATCCTTTAAAAGGCCTCCTCCAGATCGATTATCATTGGTGGAACGCACATGTCAGCGCCAATCAGAGATCCAATGAGCGACCAGTGGGCGTAGCCAAGCCCTTGGATTGGCCATGTGGTTTGTGAGGTGTGTGTCATTGCAGCGTCCTGATTGCCTGTTCCGGCCTCTAGTTACGAGGGTCGTTTGATAAGTCAGTGACTTTTCGAGTTTCCCGCGCAGTAACTTTAAATTCCACACTACCCCCGTCAACTGTCGTCTGTTAGTAGACTGCTGTCAAATTTTGAACACGGGTTTTAGCGACGTTGCCACAGGCCAAAGACTAATCAAAACAGTGGGTTTCTGCAGATGAACGTGCAGCAGAGMAGGCCAAAATGGGTCTGTCGAGTTTTTTGGGATGCACGCGATGTCATTCACATCGGTTACTKTGAAATGGGTAAAACGATCAYTGGCGCATATTATTCAGAGCGTYTGGAYAGATTCGATGTTGCGATCGRCGAAAAGTGCTTTTTCGACTATTTCCTGTTTCCAGACCTGAAGAAATGACTGGGCGGTAAGAAATTTGGGTGCAATGAAGAGGTCATCATTGAAACCAACGCATATTTTAAGGACCTCGAGAAATTATATTACTTGGAGAAAAATAAAAAAATTGGAGACGCTGGACTAAGTATCGAGCTAAAAGAAGATTATGTTGAGAAATAAACCGTCTCAACTGATCAAACGGCCCTCGTATTAGGGACCGTTATTCGCGAGTTCAGAAGCGCAGGCGCGTCCCGGTGGCTAAAATTTGAACTACATGTGAAGTAATAAATTGACACTTGTTCCGTTGACATTGGTGTTGACGTCTGATTGTGATCGGTCTGGTTGTAATCAACTTTTGCAAGCTTTTGAAGAAATAGAAACAGATCGAAATGTGTGTAAGTATTGTTTTATGTTATAAAGTCTGACAAGTTTCAACTGTTGGTAGTTGAACTCGCGAATTGCGCCGGCCTGTACGAGGGGCAGGAAATATGTATGTTTGTGTGTGCAAGCCGAGTGGAAGATTTGTAAAGTCAATTTGCTATTATTTCGGATCTGAAACTTCTAGCATGTTTTTCAATGAGTTCATTGCATTCCTCGGGTCGGTGTGCTGAAAATGATGTACAATTTAAGACATTTTGAGAACATTTTCATTTTTTCGATTCCTTTCGACGCAAGAAGGTCACAAACATGCATTTATATAGTGTTTCG